AAGCTTCTGAATGCTAGATAGAAGATTTTCTCTAAGTTTCAATGATAAAAACAGAACGGGAAATCTATGACGATAGTGCTGGGATGCCTATCAGGGCAAGATCTATTACTAAAATATGCTTGAATTCTTTAATATTTTTACTTTCGACCGGAGTGTAGCAAATAAATCTCTTTCTTTTTGAACTAATTACAAATGATAACTTCAAGATACTCTCTCTCCGTGATAGTATCTATTAATGATAAACTCAAATATGCAAATTTTATTCTTTGAAATCTATTCATGCATGACATCAGTATTGAAAATATTAATCTTCCAATTTAACAAAATTTGTTTAACTAAAAAAATGTTTGAAAGTATGAAGTTAATAGTTATCTATTTTCATTTCAGAAACATTTGTCTCTTTTGATTAGCTCATATTTACATTAGTTAACAAATAAATTGATTCTAACTAAGGACTCTCATTTCACTTTAGACCCAACCTATTTCTTAACTCATAGAAGAATTTGTTTGTGTTAATTCTTATTTGCTCTTCCTCATGATCCGAAGCGAACTAATAATCCTTAAAATATGGATTATCTAGATGAAATATATTGCAATTAAAATGAAAGAAAAATCGTCATTAATTCTTGCTCGTCTCACTGAAGAATATAAGTTATTTCTTAGATAGAAAACTAACAATTCGATTTTAATTGAGAAATAGTATTTATGTTATAATAAACTAGTTTTCCGCTGTCTCTGTCATATGGATTGAAACTTCGGTTACACTAAAAGTCTCTAGCTAGCCGTATGATTCCCAAACAACCACTAATATTCTCTACTGAAGTTTTATGCTCTTAGCAATCTCGTGAGTCTTACATGTTGAATCTTGAAATTGTTTTGTTTTTACTGAAGAGTTTCTTATAAGACATAAATAACTTGCTAGGATGTTTTCATTGTATGGCATAGAGCAAATAGAAATTTCAAAATAATGCACTTATTAAAACATTTAAGCATATCTTGGTTTTTCTCTTTATTTTCTACTTTTAAAGATATTCTAATGCTATATAATGAGATAATCACACAAAACAAATGTCGTTACAAGCATAAAAAACAACAAAAATTATCTAATAAAGAAAAAGTTTTTCAATGTAACTAAGTGTTTTAATTGTAAATAAAAGTGCTTCTGTTTGTTAAATTGTTGGATTGAATACTATCGGTACAATCGACAACCACTGAACTGATCTCAGGAATCAGTTACAGAGACTGTCGATTTAAATTACCGATAAGTATTGCTTGATAGTCATTGCAAAGTTGTAATCTAAAATTGATTTTTTTAAAATATGAGTTTTTATTGAAAGCGGTTGCTGCAAAATTCATTTCACTATCGAGTCCAAAACCAAGGAGTAACGCTATTTCAAGTACTTTTAATTTTGGGCAAGCATTCTCTAACCATTGGTACCACATTCGACTGCCAAGTGCAGAACTTGGTCATGCTTCGCATTTGACAATATTCAAATATCAGGAATTCGACCAGGATGTTTCATTCAAAAAATCAGGATTTGTTTAAGAAATCAGGATTTAAAGAAAAACTGTTTTAGAAACCTTAAAAAGACTGTTGCACACTTTTAAAACCTTCAAATGAGTAAAAAGACTTAGTGGGATTAGAAACGCTTTTAACACAATGAGCTCTTCATGAATAGCTTATGAATGCAACAAGATAAATGAGTTGCCATTCATGAGTGTTCATGATTGCCGACCAGTACATGTGATTAATCAAAAAAAGCTTTGATTATTTCTAGATATTTTTTTCATTTTAGTGCTCAGTTTTGAACTATCCTAAAATATTATTACGGTACGTATTAGACTATAAGCTAGATCAATGCATTTTTGAATGTTCTTTGGATAGGAATAAGATAGCACTAGTAGTTTTCACTAGTCGGGAAAAATGAAATAGCCCAATCGCAAAACTATATAGAGCTTGATCGGTAAACACTCCGATAGTCAAACAAATCCATAGTAGATATTTTGTGAGAGCACGATCAAGGAAGCTTTTCAGACCGATTTTAGGCTGGAGATATGGCATTCGAGAGAAAATATTCTTCTCTTGCAAACTATGGAAGGCTGACATTGCTAGTGTATCATGTTGGACTCTTACAGAGACTTTTCTAAAAACCTGTTGATGTCAGCGTTGTTCCTTTCAAATGGTACTGCTTTACTAAGATCTAAAGTCGCAATCAAAGGATTTTTCCAATTTTGACCTTCTACCTAGACATGCTAAATGGCTGCAAACTCAGAGATCTCGCGAAAACCCTAAAAGAAATACTATCACCAGTGCACTAAGCTCGCCCAACTACCTCTTGCAAGAGCAGTTTCACTTGAAGTAGGATAAAAACCAGTGATGAAACCAAGGATCTCTGGGAAATCCAGCAAGCGTGCTTAAAAATCCTAGTAATAATGTAGGTATCCTGTATAGCAACGGGAAACAATGTTCGCTCCTTTATTTTTCTATCACAACCCAAGAACTAATGAAAGACACTTTTATAATCACCTTTTCGAAAACCCTAGCAACCATCGACTTTGTTGACTTATCGCCAACGAATCCAGCTAGCCATGAATTAGTAAAAATAGTGATTTTTTCTCTCGTATACATAGTAAAAATCTTAGATTTCTAACTAGTTTCCATCAAAATTGCTTTGAAAAAAATATTGACTTACCTCAGTTTTTGGCGCCTATGGTAGCTCATTTAACAACGTAGTTTTTGGCCCTTTGAATACATTTAGGAATATCATTGGTGCATATACGTGAAATGGAATCGTCTTTGTTTTCGTCATTATGATGACGCAAGATCATTCGTTGTCATGTTGATAATATAAAAAGAAAACAAAAACAAATTGAAGGCTGAGGGAATCTTTGTTTTTATTGCTATTGCACTTATTGGAGAAATTGATATTAGCATCATCTGTAGCATCTAACCATCGATATGTATAATATGAGCTATATGAATGCGTAAGAAATTTAGAAAATTATAATTAAGCAGAAAATGTGTAAACAATATTTTCATAGATTAAAATGAATAATAATAAATACTACCAATCATCGTTCTACATATCTATATTAATCTGCCATGCATATATCAAATGATTGATTTCAATGACAAGAACAGTGTTTGAAATTTAAGATAATATTGATACAGATATCATGCATTTCTACTAAGAAAGGCACGCTGATTCGTGTTCTAATAATCATTATAGAAATTATATACTAAAAATGTCAAGTTAAAAAAATAAAATATTTTAACCCACATCCTCAATGGTCAATATAGAAATAAAAATTGCAGAAAATGCTTACGTTCTAAAATATAGTATCTCTTCTTTTTCATATAACATGAGTTGATGAAATTAGCATGCAAAAAAAAGAAGATAGAGCTTATTAACAACATAAATGAATCTATTAAAAAGTTTTTCTGCGTCAAATTCATCTGATTTCAATGAGCGGTAAGAGTACAATTATTGGGGCGCAAAACAAATGTGCAAAGACCGTGTTGATTCTTCAGTAATAAACAATGTCTTCCTATCTAACGTAATTTTGACTAATTTTCAACACTACCCTCATGTTCTTATTCAAAATTCAGGTCATTTCCTATCTAAAATACTTTTCAAACTCGGTTAAACTGCAAAATTTTGCGCGAATCTATGTAGCAAACAAGAAAATATTCCTAGTAACTCTTTCAGCGCCCCAAAGTATTTAAATCTACTCTTAACTCTAACTGAACGTCCTTAATAGACAAAAAGCATATGAAATCATTTATATTTTGTTAAAATATTCGCTTACTTTTCATGTGTTAAAACGTCTCTTGAACATCTGCGGGGATTTTTCAAGTATAATACGTACTTTATCTGCATCATAATTGATTTTATGTACTTTAAATTAATAAAATTCATAATTTCAATAAGTATCGAAAAAAATTTCCTTTTATACTTCATTATCGTCGGCGAACCCAATAGTTTTTCATTGTGACATCTCTCCAATAAATTTTTTCTGCTAAATATTTGATGAATTTCCATCTGAGAATTTATTTTAACTTATAAGCAAGTAATTAATACGTAATATTTGTGTCTAAGTATTTTATATAACATTCGGTGATGAGATTTCACCAATAGTTCGTCTAAATTCTAAAAAAATCAGTCAATCATATATTTTTTTATGATCTGTAAGACTATTCCGTAGTTTTTGTATTGTTTTATTCAAATATATCAATAAAATGAAACTAAGCATGAAGAAAACTACGGTAAAATATATTTATTATGATCAATTATGGAGTTTTTCGGGTTATATCACACTCCAGATAGAGCTAGTTGTCTTCGCAGCTGTTTGAAGGACGGCATCAAGTTCTAATTTTAAATATTTTCTTAGTTATAGCTCTCCAATACTGTTAGATTTCATAGGTATGTATATTCAGGTTGAAAATTTATAATTTAGCCACGTTATGACCGCAGACATCTCAGTAGTTTAGTTGCCGTGAGTATTTTCGATACCAGAATTGATTTCTAATTGTATGGATTTTATTCGCAGATTTGGTTTTTGGGTCTAACAATCATCCCGAGTGTTTTATGGTGATTGGATTATGCATTTTCTCATGAAAATGTTATTTACAAGCTTAGAGAAAAACCATAAGGTTGCTTTTTTCGTTGTCGTCTTAAATCTCGAACGAAGAATTCAGAGAAAATATTGTAAAGTCAGAGGGTACAAAAATGAAAACTGATAGTTGCGTAATATTTTTATCAAATGGAAAAGGGTAACGAAAGTAAAAGAGAAAAAACGCAAAATACCGTTTGTGTATATAAATACATGAAGTACTCTATTTTCATTATTGGCGGTAAAAGTTATTCTAAAATATTGAAATATTTGATTTATTATGTTTTAAACAAAATTGCCCGGCTCATTTTTTAAAATAATAACATAAAGACAAAAATTTTCTAATGAACAGGATTATCAGGATAATTGACCGTAATCAGGATCAATCAGGATGCAGTGTAAAAATCAGGAAAATATGAGGAAATCAGGACATCTGCGATGCATGATGGTAAACTACTGTTGATATTTATCAGGCGACATCGACGTAATGAATTTGAAGCTATATTTGTTAGAACGAAGATCATTTTTTGAATATCTAGATATTTACACGCTAAATCGATCGTATGTAAATCGTTGAATTTTGCTAAATTTTGATTAAATAGATGTGCATAATACGTATTCGTTGATTTTAATGATTGTAAATAAGGTATATTCTTTAATAAAAATTGATAATCAATACGACAACGTTGGCTATTAAAGACTAAATGTTTAACGGTTGATGGTTCAACTAATATATCATCACAATAATGAAAATGTAAAAATGATGAATTAAATTCTAATCGTTCGAGATTGACTAAACCTAAGGCTTTCGTAAATACTTGCTGACGATCTTTACTTCGGACGTAAACTATTAAAGATTTCAAGTTATGTGGAAAATTCGCCGGCCAATTGTGAACAGTTACATTGTTTAGTGTAAGTAAATTTACTCGATCGAATTGTCCTAAATTTACTTTAGCCATATGATACACGTTTTCAATACGGATTGATATAACATTGCTGATTTCAATTTTTGGTAGAATATATTTACGAAAGCGTGTATCTATATGACGTACATGCAATTGAACATTTTCTTTTTTAAGTAATAATGGAAATTGGTGAATTATGTCATTAAATAAATTAAATAATTCATCAACATAAAAATATTGGAATAATTCCAATAGAATATCCACACATAAAATATTGCCTGTGGCTTTAAATTCAATCATGTGTATTACTTTAACCTAATGAAGAACAGTTTAATTCTATTTCGCTTTGAGCATAGAACACGAGAGCATAACCTTTTTCACTTCAAGTTATTTGTCTACGTAAAGAATGAGAAACACGAAATATATATATATATATATATATGTGTGAATGCGCACATCGTGTACCATAGGAAAATCAAAACAAACACGATATGTCAGTTATCAAGGGGTTATCGGAATAGATAGACGACAATTGTTAACATCTGTATAGACTAACATGTATCATAAGTCAGTTGCGTTACAACCCTAGATCAAAGAGTTATCTATCAAAACAAACAAAAAGCAATAGACGAAAATAACTTTGAAATAGGTGTCAAAGAACTTTTTTCTGTTTATGATCTAAGAGAAAAGGCTTCACTATCGACAAATGTACTTATTCTTTTCTCTTTAGATAAATGAAAGCATTCAACAAGAAATTTTGTACTTCAAAAGAATTATTCATATTAAATAATAATGATTTGTCGATGTTATTAATTCAGGCAGAATTGTTTTTATTGTAAGAAAAATATTCTTTAGCGCAATATTTTAGACTTTATTCGAAAAACACATCAGAAACAAAACAGCTTTGAAAAGTTCTTCATAGTTACACAGATTTTTGTTTTTGATTGTAAAAATTATTCACAATTATATAATAAAAATAGATTTCGCGGATAGACGAAGTCGAAGATCTGTTAAACTAAGATTAATAAGAAAACATCATCGAATTATACTAATTTCCAAATTATGCCAATGATTCCAATCGATGTTCAATCCGAAGAACTTGAAACACACGAAACAATTTGAAAAATCCTGAGTTATTAGTCGTTTTTAAAATCGAAACAGTACTCAATGTTGGTTGTTTCATTTAGTTTGTGGACGATTCATTAAGGAATTCCGGGTAAAACTAGAAGATTTTCACGAATTGCTTCGTATTCATCAACGTCGAATAAACAAAACACAAATTTTTCCAATATACATCGTTCTTTCTATTACATCAAAAAGTAGAAAAACCAGATAGAAGAGACGAAAGGCAAACTTTTTGTTTCAAAAATATATTTCGATGATAATTGGCGGTAAAAATATAAACAGCTATGACTCTTGAAAACCTAGCAATATTTTGCTTATGAATCAAAATTATGAATTTTTCTAAAAACCCAAAAAAATGATGCTTCAATGATTTCTGGTTTTCAGAATCTTTTCTGAAATTTGCCTGTTTTTCAAAGGCCTCGAGCAGTCCTCTGACAACAAGAAGAATATCTATAGTAACTGACCGAACGTACAGGCTTATTTACATGTTCCCTTCTGTACAACTTAATCGATTTTCGAAGCTATCACTACTACTCCGATTTCCGTTGAAGTGGATGTTTTTTATTGATGATTCTTTTTATTTTTCTTCATATGGTACCTTATTTAATGAAAATTTCCTTGCGATCATACAAAATTATTAAAAAATCGTCTAGACGGCACATACGAAAGACGTTCATGCAAGATGAGTTTCTAGAAAGTCTCTTGCTTTAAATAACAACTCGATAGATAAAAATAAATATTCAAAATATAAATATACTAGAGAAAAAGTTCAAAGTTCATTAAAAAACAATCAGTAGTATAACTTATTGCAACGTTTTCATTGTTGTTGAACTACATTCCATGATAATGTGTGAAAAACAAATTCGATCAAAAAACGAACCGAAGCTATCTACTGATGTTCGAAAATTATTAATTACTTTAGCAACCTATTCATGTTGCACTGCTTCGCTTTCAACTCGTTTTTAATTTTAGAAACATTTTTTCAAAATAGCTTAGGCCTCTAAATTTGGCGCGAATTCATTAACAAAATTATTGATGGTTACTGCGGAGGCTTTCTCCCCAATTTTGAATTATTTTGTCACAATTACTTGGTTGTCCTTTATGAATGAATCCGTGTCTTTTGCTTTGATTTACCATTCTTTCATAGTGCATCGTATTAAACCAAACTTTAACATGAACAAAGGATAAACATATTTAATGAATAGATATTCGCTATTATTCTGTTTTTCAGGCTACTTTCGATAGTATGCTAGCTTATTCGTAATGATAAGATACATACAATCATTAGCTTTAGTTTTTCTTGTAATTGTATGGTATAATATTTAAGATGCACTTGAGTTTATTAGAAAACTTGAATGCACATTCGAAATCATAATATAATTTTATATGGACTCGCGTACAAAAGATGTCTGGTGTAACTATGTATTTTTTAATCCCTCATCATTGCAGATTGCACACCAAAAAATAATCATAGCATTTTAGAAAGTCTTTCTTGTTGAGTCATACGGCTTCTCTCTGTATAACCAAAAATAGAAACGAATTTAAAATTAAAACCAAAATTTTATAGAAAAAATGTGGAAACTTCGGATTTCATCCGAGAGTTATGTGCACTGCAAAAAGTGCACGGGACATATGAGTCATTCTAGAATGTCTGAGCACGAAAATTATCATGAGAAACTAGGTAATTTGATTTCTGGATGCAGTTTTTTGTGTATTTTGAGACGTTTTTCAGGCGATGTTTCGTTAGAAAGCTACGATTTAGTTCAAAACTAATAGCGGATTTAGAATCAGCGTTAAAAACTGAGTCGATTTATATATGTTGTGGATAATTCTGAGAAAAAAACATTTTCTTGAAAAATCCCTGTACTCCCCCTCAGGGATGGTCTGATCAAAAATGACAATTTTTTCGATAACTCAGCCATTTCTTGACGGATCCTTTTCATCTTCGAACTCGACTTAGATATTGATGAGACAATTCTGTACACAAAATTTCAGCTCAATCGAATGTAATTGTGAAGAGTTATCGAATAAACGGACGGAGACACTGACCGATTCTATTGTGCTCTTCTTTTTTAGTACATAAAAAAAGCAATATAAAATTTTCCTTCGTGCATAGTATGCATTTTTCAAATACATTCGGTTGAATTAGCGGGAAAATATGAAAACAACATACTGAGAATAGAAATCTCACGAAAACTGAAATGAAATCAATTTTTAAATACTGATAGTAATTGCTTTGCACTACAGAAAAAACGAAGACTCGTCTTCTGCAAAAATATGTTGGACGGAATTAAATATAGCGCTCGTTGTCTCACGCTTTTCTCTACGTCTACAAGATTTGCCATAGAGTAAGAAGAAAATAACTTTCTAGAAAAGCCCTGACAATTCTAATAAACATAAAGCAAAGAATCAGAACGTAAGCATGCATATGAAAAAAAATACAAAGATATTTCATCATCAAAACAATACATCTATTATATATTCTGAATGTTTTTTGAAGTATAGATAACTTTAATTAGCGGGAAACAGTAGGAATACATAAAGCACCAATCCATCGTTGAAATAATGTCCATAACAATCGAAAATCTAACTAATTTGTTGTCTACTACTCGAGAAAGAAAGGAATATAATACTATCAATAACAATCTCCGATTGGTTCAACATCATATCCATTTAAAACTGATTTGTATTGAATTTATTTTCAAATAAAAAATGCTTTTCTCGCCAGTCTAAGCTTGAAAATTCGTATAACACGGGAAAATATATATTCATAGTGATTTATGTAACGCCCAAACAATATCCATTTATTAAACTTTACCGAAGCTTATTCGACGTTTACGTGCTTGACTACCGTGTATATAGGCATACTTTATGAATGATTTAATTTCTTTTACTTTATGTTTTTCGTCGTTCGCCTATTAATTTATTTCATAAAAATTTTCATATGATAAACATAGAATTACAATATTACTCTATTCCTCTCTATCATACGATATTTTATTTGAAACGAATTTAAGATGATAAGGGAACTTTAGGGTAAATTCGACATTATGAAATAATTATAGATTTCGATGACCATCAATAAAGGCATCTATTTCACAGTCGAATTTTACAAAAGCAAATATTTGAAATATAGTATAAATGACGTTTAAAGTAATACCTGTTGGGAAGTATTTGATGTTGAACAGCAGAGCTGAATAAAAATACGAAGAATAAAATGCCGACAGTACGCTAAAAAACAAACAGCTTTCAGTTTGGTATTTCTGTGAAAAACTCTTTTCTCGTGAAAACGAACAATACTTTGAAATCTCGCAAAAAGATTCTTAACAACAGCAGAAACCTCCGCATAAATGTGTTCATTGTTGATATGTGCGTCGTCCTTTATCTTAATATGTCCTTCATGAATGATCGGTTTTATTTTACATTCTTTTATTCTTAATATGATTTCAAAACAAGATTTTGTTCATTTTCCGAATTATAGAATATTTCCAGTGCGTTTATCCGTAACAGATATTCAAGCAAAAGTCAAAAGATTAAGCCCTATGTCTTCTCAGTTCACACATGTATGATACTTGCCTCAATCTTCTCGTGTTTCTTAGATATATAGGAAACACATTGAATACGAGTTAATTGAATAAATACATCAAGAAAAGATGATGTGAGTATATCATAAAGTAGAACTATAAATTGCTACAAAGCGTTTGTTTTTAACTTGTATTGCAGTTTAATGACAATCGTATTTAGGAATCTGACAAATTTGGGGCTACTGCTGAAGAAAATATTTTTCCTTTCATCTACGAGGACTGGCTATTAATTCAGCAACATGTTCATGTTCATTCGTTTCCGAAATAACGAAGTTCTGAACTTTCGCGCGATATTTGTTGAAAAAAATTACTTTGTACCAATCAGAAGATTTTAAAATATTTAAGCCAGTCGGCTGCATGATAATGCATATATTCATAGTTATGAGAGAATCACAGATAGAACATCTCTACGGAGCATTTTGAAAGCACTCAATTGCAATAATTATTTTCTTTATAAAGTAGCTCGATTTTAATCAAGGTGAGAAAGTAAAATAAACTCAAGGTTAATACCAATGTTATCCAAAATGTCAACGGCATTCATTTTGTTGCTGCAGAAAATAAGTATCTACTCGTGTCTCTTAGTTTTTCAGTATTTCCTATGTTCCAATAAATATTTAGCTTTCAAAACGCGCTTAAATTATAGATTCCGTAGAAAATTGCATGAAACAAAAACGAAAATGTTCCTAGCAACAGTTGTTGTGCTGTATCCCATCTGATCATACATCGCGATGTCCTGATAAATTTCGAGGGAGATGTCCTTTGCAAATAATTTTTTCGCTGGAATCCTGACAAGCGCTGCGATGTATGCATCTGATCGAACGTCCTGAGTAGATGATGCCTTTTGTCTTTAGCTGTAAATTTGATGTTTTTCATGTAATTACAACCATTTTAGGTAGTACTCAAATCCTGAGATAGTCTGACAGTTGCTCTATAATTCCTAATTTTGACATCAAATATTATTTCATCGGTTGAAAAACATTTTTCATGCAGGCACGAACTAAATTTTTTAAATATTTTACATAAATTTGATTCACATCTATCTCTCCACTAACGAAAAAATTAATAGGAGAAAGCGAATCTTTAGAATTGCTGACCTTCACCTCCATTGAATGATTCACGCCTATAAACGTATGGCATTTGAATGTGTAGACAAAAAATAATTAGCGTTTGTATGTGAACGTAAATATCAAGCATAGACTGCTATTGAGTTAAAATCTCACGAGTTCATATGATCAAACAAAATTCTCATAGTTCGTAGGTTACAAAAAGATTGATTATTTGAATGTGAAAAGTATTATACCGCGTTGAGCTGTGCGAAAGAGCTTGTGATTTATTTGCCATTCCATTCGTGACAATTAATGTCGACTTCATTCACAAATGACTGAATGTAAAAGATTTAAAATCATGAACGAGTATAAATGTTTATCAGAATATTCTAAGAGAAATTTTCTCGTACCTGTAATAAAACACGTTATACCATTAGTTTAACGTTATTTTCTCTGTCATTTTGATTTGTCAAATAAAATGTACTTAGTGCTGTTTTTTGCTTATATGTTAGAAAAATGCTTTTTTATGCGTTCACACTCAAAATGGCCTAATTTTCAGTCTATGTAAAATTCTATTCTATTTAAAAATTCATGCGCACATCACATTTTGACATATAAGTCTCTCCCGTCGATCTTCGTTGCCATGTATATCAAGGTAAAAACAAGCGAATGATTGATATCCTGTTTCTTTAAATTTCACAAGATTAGTATTTATCAATAAACGTGAAGTATCTCTTGTCATGTAGTTTGATATTTTGATATTTTGACGCATCCGAAAAGAAACTTGAAGAAAAAGCAAGCCTAATGAAAACATCAAAACAGTCCTTGATGCTCGTTTCTCTGTTTTTCTTTCTTGTTTTTTATATTCTACTACATTTTTTTTTGTTTTATTTTACTGCGGATAGCACACAGTGTTCATAAATGAACGTGGTATGTAATTCTCGCGGGCGATGTGCGCCGTACGAGAAGTTAAACTCTTCAAAAGGCGCTCCAGTTTACTCGTAGTGACTAATATATATATATATATATGTATGCACGCATTGATGTGCATAGCGAACGTTAGCAGATGCCGATTCGCCTTGATGGTGTGAAGCAAAAAAAAGGATAAAAAAAGAAAAAATGTTTTTTTTAGCAGTTTTCATTTTATGACGTGAATCGTTGTCACTCGTTCTTTCCCTGGCTTGTCGATCGTATCAGGTTAATAAGAAACTGTGTGAAGGGAGAGAATGGTGAAGAAAAAAAAAGAGAAAAAGCAACAATGCTGTTGGCGGCAAAAAAAAAGGGAGTAATGATGGTAGCAACAAGCTATAATCATGCTTTTTACCTGAATCATGCATCATATGTACTATACCTCTCGAAAGCGTTCTCTTCGCTCGTTCGTTCTGTATCATTTACATGCCCAACTTTATCCTGCATATATTACTACGAATGGTAATTCCTTGTTGTATCGTCATAATGGAGATGTAAAAAAAATCTTCACTATTTTACTTCTCTCTTCTTTGGCAGAAAAGGTAATGTTTTATGAGTTAAGGTTTTTGTGCATTCTTGAGTTAGGAAGCATTTGCTTGAGAGCAGATTTTTATTCACGCGATAACCAGTAGATTTCCTTGAAGTTAAGTACACGTAGTTGAAGCTGGAAGCATTGAGCCATACTGAAGCGAAGAAATTGGTCATGCCACCATCCTTTTTCTTTACTCTTTTTTTCTTTCGAAAAGAAACAGCACATTGAGAAAACAGTTGAAAGATAATGTATTACACAATCATAACACGTTGTGTGTCAAAATATTGTTTTGCTTTGGAAGGTCTTTTTGCTCTTTTTCTTCTACGCGTTTCTCGGCCTCCTTACAAATAAAAATGTTCGATCAATGTTGTAACTTTGACAACAACGGCATCGATAACAAAAAAACAACAGGTGATCGATTATTATAAGTTTCTTTTTTTGCTTGTCACATCTAGTTATATAACTAAGCAAACATGACAACGCAAATTCTGTCGCACAATTGTTCATAGGTTTGTTTCAACATATATATGTGAGTTCGCCTTCAACGAACAACGCAGAGATTTTTCTACCATTTGTATGTATGTCGTTTTAAAACAATCGAGAATATTCATCATTAATAGGATACCTAGATATATAAACATGCATTGTTCCAGCTCAATAAGCACATACATGCTGAATATTTAACATGATCGGAGTGAGTGTAAAATGCGACATATGGTGTATTTATTATTGTCATTAATTTTTTATATCCAAACCATACATTAGTCAGTATAATGATATGTTTTTGGAGGCTTGAAACAAATAGAACTGGTGCCATGGAAATGAATCATCGAAATCCTTAATAAATATTCAAGTAATTGCTTTTTTTTATTACATTCTAGATTTCATTATGGGTCATCGTCTTTCACGTTCCGACTTTCATTGGGTTTATTCCGATGAACCTCATACAACACGTCGACGAGAGATGTTACGTAAGTCTAACATTAGCTATTTTACTAAATCAAAAACTATTTCCTGTTAATTTTATTTCTTCAGAAAAATATCCTCAAATAAAACAATTAATGGGCCATGATTCGCGTATTGCTGCTCAAGTTATTGCTACAGTATTAATACAACTAACACTAGCCATTCTAGTACAAGACCTACCGTGGAAATATATTCTTATATTAGCCTATATTATTAGTGGCACACTGAATCATTCTCTTTCGATTAGTTTTCATGAAAGTATGAAACTATAATTATACGAAATATTAACATTTTATTTTTATCCTTCAATTTCAGTTGGTCACAATTTAGCTTTTGGTAATCATCGACCGACGGCAAATCGTATTCTTGGTTTTATAGCCAATCTCCCATTATGTATTCCATCATCCGTTACATTTAAAAAATATCATATTGATCATCATAAGTAAATTACGATAGAATTTAATTATAGAATGAATTATTTTTAATTCGTTAATTAAGATATCAAGGCGATGATATTCTAGACCCAGATCTACCGACTTATTTCGAAGCATGGTTGTTTCAATCGAGCATTGGGAAAATCTTTTACATTGCTGCTCAACCCTTACTTTATTCTGTCCGACCTTTATTACGTGTACCGAAACCTGTAACATTTCTTGAAGTAGTTAATCTTATCATTCAAATTACTTTTGATCTGGTGTTCATGTATTTCTTTGGTCGTAAATCATTTGTTTATTTATTTTTGGGAACCGCGCTTGGTCTTGGTCTACATCCGATTTCAGGACATTTTATATCTGGTTAGATAAAAAAAGACTAGCTATTTTTTTCCTATTCTTAATAATATCTTCAAAACTTAGAACACTACACATTTGTCGAAGGTTATGAAACATATTCCTATTATGGTCCATTCAATTATTTAACATTCAATGTTGGTTATCATAATGAGCGTAAGAAGTTTTTACTTTGCATTTCTCTAGAAAAAAAAAATAAAAGCCTTCATTTTTTTCCATTCTAGATCATGACTTTCCAAATATCCCAGGATATTCACTACCAGAGGTAAAATCAACATGTTTATGTTAATAAATAAATAAATAAATATTTTTTAATTTTTTTGTTTCGTAGTTGAAAAAATTAGCTCCAGATTATTATGATAATTTACCGTGTCATACATCGTGGCTTAAAGTAATATTCGATTTTATTACTGATCCGAAGTTAGGACCCAAATCTCGTATACGTCGTACCATACGTTCGGATGCATTAAAATTGAATAATGCAATAGATTTAAAAAGCAAATCAAAAGTCAATGAAGTTTTACATGATGTGATTGATAATAACAATAACACATCATTATCGAAAGAGGAAAGAAAATTAATGAATGTAAAAAAGCATTCGAGCAAACAAAATGGCATTTCACCATCAGTAAAACTAACGAATGGAAAACATTCGAAACATGAATGAAAAACTCAATAGCAAGCATAGAAAGAATAAAGAACTGTATGTGTTGGTGTTTTCTTTTATGTTGTATTCATTTCTTCAGAAATTTGTATTGCTGACATCGTACGTTTCTAGCAAATGATGACGAAATCTTAGAGATAATATTTTTCTATGTCAGGGACATAAATTTATTTACCAAAAATAATAACAAACTAATTCGTTAATATTGCCCCCATTGTGTTAAATGTGAGTCAGATCTATAGAAGTTTAGTGTCGTATAGCACAGTATTCAGGTTTACTTTGAATGTCTTAAATTACTCATCTTCTAATGCTACCATCCCTATGCAAATAGACAGAAAATTGTTTTTTTACGTTACTTAAAAAAAATCAATATTAAATTAGCTCCTCCTACTATACCGCCTTCTCCGTCCTGAACCAATATTGCCCTAAGAAGTAAAATGCGAAGTATTCTAAATTAAAAAGAAACTATGTTTTCCTTCCCGTATCAAATCAAGTTTTCAATCTCTGAGATATCTGAAACAGAACAGTAATCGATGTTGATTCAAAAATGCGCGAAAAAATGAACCCTGTTAATGTGTTTTCTGTTGTTTCGTCAATTTTTCCGTCCGTATGCACGTGTATATGTATACATAAGTACCAGTCCCCCTTTTTTTCTTGCTTTTATTGAGCCAATTTTTCTGTTATTCCCTCAATGAATAATGAATACAAAACAAAAAGTACCTAATGCTTTTTTTCATCTTCATTTTTATAACTAAAATTGTATGATTAATGTTATATTTTACTCTCGCTCTTAAGTTATATCATAATGAATAATGGAATATACTGCACATTTATTATTTGGAAGCACATTAAATAAACCATTAGTATGCCAACTAAATAGATACTAAACAAAGCAAAGAAAAAGAAATGTAACTAGAAGCTCTAAATACGTTAAGAATATTTGGAAATAGAAGAACAACAAAATCTGACACAACACCGATCGTACAATAAATAACCGACAGTATACTTTCTTTACTTTTAATGTTATTATTAAGCCGGAAGAAAAACGAAGGAAGTTCTGCTATATATCTCTCTCTCTATATATATAGAGAGAGATATATATATATTGATTAATACCATTCTCATGACTACTTGATAAATAAAAATAATAAAATGTAAACGATTAAACAAGACCTGTGGTTTTTTCTTAGTCTTGTTTCTTAGGCTCATTGACAGTAGTTTGCAATTGTTGTTCATATTCTTGTTGACTTGGTACTTGAATATGTCCGATTTTTGTTGGTCGAGTCACACGTGCCCAAGGGCCCACATTATCGTTCGTAACGAAATCATAAAGTACTTTGATCCAACTAAAAAGAAAATAGATTTATTTTTATTAAAATAATTCAACTTGAATATCAAAACGTAAGAAGAAGAAATTTTCTTCCTTTCATTGTACAGTTTAAGGTTTCATAGGATGAATGGTTGATCTATGTCCAAACGAATTCTAACATAACTTAAAAGTTAAACAGGCGATTTGATTCGACCTCGTTTTTATTTTCTCGTCTATTTTTCATTTTCTTTTCATCATTAAAAAAACGCCACCAGAACAAAGGTCACGATGTCATAAATCGAATCGTCCCATGAAATCCAAAAAGAGCTTAATTCGAAAATAATAGAAAAGATATACAAAACATTTTTACCTTGTATAAGATGGTAAATAATCATAATATTCTGCAGCAATTTTGCGTACTTTTGGTAAATTTCTACCAGGTATATATGGAAAATCATGATCTAAAATAGAAAAAAAAATGATATTAAAGCTTCGCATTAAAACATGTTGTTTTTACGTTCATTGTGGTAGCCAACATTATACGTTATAGCATTAAGTGGTCCATAATAAGAATATGTTTCATAGCCTTGTTGAAAAACATAATGTTCAGCAATAAAATGCCCAGAAATTGGATGTAATGATAGACCGAGTGCAGTACTTAATAGAAAATACGATAAAGTTTTTCCACCAAAAAAATAAAACATTAAACTATTAAACATAAATGCAATAATTAAATTAACTATTTCCAATAAATGTATGGCTTTTGGAAGGATAAATAATGGTCGACATGAATAGAGAAGTGGCATTATTATCAAAAATATTAATTTACCAATACGAGAGGAAAATAAAAATACTTCCAATCGCGTTGGAATATCTGTATCATAAATAGTATCACCTTGAAATCTTAAAATTATTCATAATGAAATCAACGCAAACAGAAATAGAAAAAAAGAAATTTGTTTTTTCTTACCGATGATGATCAAGATGATACTTTTTCAATGTTATTGATGCGGGTACACCTAATGGTAAATTAGCAAAAAAACCTAATATACGATTAGACATAGGTCGTGAATGACCAAATGCTAAATTATGTGTCAATTCATGTAATGCCAACGACAATGTATGATTTATAGTACCACCAATAACATACGCGAAACAAATTAATTTGAGCCATGAAGCTTCTCTTAAAAGTATTGCAACAATGATTTGAGTTATTACGGATATAATCACTTGTACTGACATAAGCCAGTCATGACCCATTAATTGTTTGATTTCAGGATATTTTTCTAGATGAATAAAATAAGATAAGAGATTAAATTCGATTGATCAATTAAAATTTAGCTACTAAGAATTTCTTTTCGACGCGTTGCATGTGGTTCATCAGTATATACATGATAAAATTCATGTGTTGTTATGTATTGGCCCATGATGTCTATCTGAAATAAAAGACAAAGTCTTTCATTTACTTCTGCCTTTATAGCAATGTTGAAATAATTTTGAGACGTTCGTTTTCAATTTATAATTGAAAAAAAGAAGAAATCCTTTCCAGCTGGCATATTTCAAATGACAACTGTCTCGCGAATATAGTTGACTTTTTTTTTCTATCGGTATGTTCTTCGATGGTGCCATTTTTTCTAAGGCTAAGTTCTTGCATTGGATCCAGAAGTCCATAGTATACCCATTTCAAATATGCTGATTACAGAAAATCATCAACAGCTGCCGTTAGTTGTTTCAAATGTCTTCAAGAGGTTCTTTAGTTCACTATCATAGACATACGATTCTTTTAACTACTTGTTGTATAGTTATAGAACTCAGATATAGTAACTAAAGTTTAGTGATATCACATACTACAAAATAAATTCGCGCCTTGACAATACATTTAAATCATTTTCATTTATTATTAAAATTTTATTTTTGTCACAAATGTTTCTTTTTTTTATTTCTAAATATGAGATGAAATTTAATTCATAATATATTACTGCAAATATATGTGCTTATCAAAAGTTACGATATTTTTTCATCATATGAAATGTGGTTGAGTAAGTTTGTTTTTTTTTGACGATTGATACATTAGAATTTTATTTGTGGCTCAAAATTGAATTGTAAATAAAGACTATCTACTTTTCTCAGTGTAAGATTTGTTCTCCCTAGTTCAGACAAAGATGTTTTCATTCATATAAGCTCATTAGAATTCAAAATATCTCTACATCTGATAAATTCAGTAAAATTTTCTTTTTTGCTTTGATTGAAAATGAATGCAAATATATTTTTGTCAATATGAATAAAGTTTGAAGAATGTAGGGAATCTCATTCAACTGCGGCTCGATTAACTTGTGTAAATGTTTTTAAAAAATATGGAATTTTTTTCTGTACATATTTACTAATGAAATGATTGATTTTATTTTTAATTTGAAGTTACAAAATCAACTAAAAAGAAGTAAATAGAAAAATAAGATCAAGAACAAAGTTAATTTAAGAAAAACGATCAATGCATTTTTTTTCTTATATTAACTAATGATATTGATAGTTGTTCGAGTTGCAAAGGCAAGCTTGACATTATCAATATTGTTTTTGTCTCTTGTCAGAAATTATTGAAATCTTAAGATTGATACTACATCATGAGCCAATATAGATAATATCATTCATTTGAAAACTAATAGTAGTATGAAATTGATTCGAATGATTGTATTGAAAAAAGTTCGATGAATTTAATCAATAAAATTCTGATTTTGACTAAATGATTGATTGATAGGCACTGAAAAAATTTTTCGAAATAACCGATCAACCTTTTTTGATTTATATCAATTGAATAATAATTTTCACTTGATATTTTGTTATTGAAAAATCAGCAAGTCAGAGGTATGATCGTATGTTTTCAATATTGTTTTTCTAAATATGATTTATTTTTATAGAAATAGTAATTCTCTCTAATCATAGCTCGTCTCCTAAAGTATTATTGCTTTTTCTATCTCTTTAATACAACATCAGTATTTTCAAATGTTTGATTGAATTATACTGTATATCTTTAGTACAATATGTGTCAAGTCAAAGATATACGATATTGTATTCAACATTTTCTCCATGTGTTTTATCCATCCATTCACTCTCTGTTCGAGTTTCTTCTTGTTCGATTAGATTTTTTCTTTACTGTTTTCTCTTCACTATACTTTCTATACATTTTTTGAAATAGCTCGCGTATGTTTCTTAACTGTATTACGTTACGTCTAGGCTGCTGAATCTATTCTCATAAGCATACTGGAAAACAAATATATCCACTATGTGTCTCACTAGTAACATACACTTTCACGAAACTATATCACCTCATCAGTTAGCCTATAGACTGTCTATCAAATATTCGATGACTCAATTCGGCTTTGCTTGTACGGTTAGATACGTTTGAAAAATAGATTTCTCTATCATTTTATGAATTGATCATAGCTTGCTAACTTGTCGACAGATCAGACATTGTCCGACCATAAACTCTATCTTGAAGAGTTGCGATCAAGGCTGAGTTCACTTGAGACTGACCTACTCCAAGATATTTCCATGTTGAACAAATTTAAACTAAAGGAAAATCGTATACACCCAAGTCGAACAGACACGGCCGTTTACGACCGTATACGGAGAAATACGGCGAAATACGATCATATACGGAGACAAAAAAACGATCGTTTACGATTCCTGTACATTGAGCCCGTACACGATCTCTGTATTACTTCGTATTTTACCGTATACGACACGGTCAAATACGATCGTAATACTGCTTCCACTTTCCAGCGATTTCCCGTGCTTTCCGCATCTTTCCGGCCGTTTCCTACGGTATCCATCCTCCGGAATCATTGACCTGGGCAGGTGAAGTTCCATGTCCTTGACAGTGATTGTTACAAAGCAATATCATCCTGTTTGAAAATGGCATTCATTGCGAACATCTTTCCAAATGCTTTCTATAAAAGAATGCTAGATTAGATTTGTCAACCTTAAGAAGCTGATATATAGTTGTTGTGGTATTGAATCAAATAAACATCCTAACATACGGTTGTACTTGTCATCCTTTTGTTTCATCAATAAATAGTATATCGTTCAGAGACAAATATTTGTTTTGTGTTCTAGATACCTAATGAAAATTTATTCAAGTTCCAATGATGTTACTGAATTTTATCGAATTAGCAGATCCTTATAAACGCTTAACGACGGCAAAGCATCGCTATCATAATATTAACTATTAAATATATTCTTGAAAGGGCCTCGTATTTCACTCTATGAGCTGTTTTATCAAAAAATATATTTGATAACTTTCACACGACAACTAGGATTACTATATTTACGTATTACTCCCCGCGTGTTTCCTTTTGGATGTGCCTTACATTACTCGGTATATGACTGTTTTCTCTACCTGAAATTAAGCATTTTACAGGAGTTTAAATACACAAGATGAATCCTATAATAATTATACTACTATTTGATTGTTTACAAGTTATTTTAAAACAGATAAATATGATAATGAACTACATTAAGATTAAAGTACACCTCTATCGATATGTGGCTCACAGATACTCGATGATAACTACTCAAAGATTATAGTCTATTCACTGGTTAAAATAGACTCAGCTTCACTACGTTATGATCTGAATTCTGATGAAACAGGGTCACAATTTCCTTCATTAATCATTTCAGATCGTTGAAGGCGTTGTTTCCAATGTTCAGAATGCCCGTTCTGCATAATGGCAGAGAAAAAACTCTTTTAACACTGATGAGTAGTTCATCATTGTCACGGATCTATTGTTGTATTGTAACCGTCTCTGGACATCACAATAAATGCATATTCACAAAAACGACAAGAAAGATCTCTCGTTATCGCATATCTGATATTAACGGTAAAACACTTTTATGCTTACTGTTTTGAAATAAATTGAAGTATTTTTAACTTTACAATCGTGTAACGCGATGACCATACTCATGTCCAAGAAAACAATACGCAAACGATGTAAAAATGATATAAAACGTTGAAGAACGGTGCCGTTTTCTGTCAACTCGGAAAACGACGAATATAGTGTTAAAAACGATTGCCGTTTTATAGCCGTTTCAGACCTTTTAAGATGCCTATTCCGACGGTCGAAATGATTGTTCTGAGTAACTGTGACAACTCTGGTTGAAAATGTATGCCTCCTTATATACTGTCACTGCTGTTTGAATGATTGTTTCTGTTTGTTGTTCTAACTTCTCATATCATTCGTTATTACCTACGCAATATGTTACTCTTTCTTCTTACATATTCATCTAGTGCCAATTACTGTATCGTGTGTTTATTACTCGTCATGTTCAATATAACCTTATGCGCTATATAACGACAGATTATTAATGAATTTATCTTATGTCTCTACTGTTCTTGTTCTTTTTCTCTTCTTTATATTAGATACTTTCTCCCTTTCTCACGTTCCATGATTCTTATATGAAGAGTGAGCGAGAGAGAAAAGAAGGATTTTTTTGGATAATAAACTGGCAGATATTGATTTTTGCTTACGTATGTGATATTGAAGAAGCAATCCAGCCAGCGATGGAAAACTCAATCCTGGTATGTTGAGAAAAGTAGATGAAAACAATAATGCATTCATGATATCATGTTCTTAAGAGAGTGCAGTTCTCAGTTCAAGAAATCCCACACCGAATTCTATAGGAACTTGATAGTATCCTACCATCCGACAGAATCTTATAGGATTCCGGGTCGAGGAATTGATGTCCGAACCACTGGTCGGAATACATTGAACTTCCGATGACATCCAACGGTTTTTCTTTGGAATTCATAGGAATCCGACACTGAGGATCCAACTTCGAATCCGGAACCCCGAAATCCGATGATAGTTCTGTAAGGTTCGACAAAATCGGATAAGATCCTACTGAATGCGAGTCGGCTCGGATGGGTTCCGATTGGTTCCCACTGTTGGATTACTCGATCTGAGCTATTTTGGAAGAATTGTTTTAAGCGACACAAGGCTTCCCTAGTCAACTCTCCCTAGAAGAATCCCCAGGGAGTCCCTAGGCATTTCGTTCTTTTGCGGGGACCCCCCGCGGAATCGTTGGGGGAGAGTTGATTAGGGGTTTTCCTGATTGTTTCGTTGTTGGTATGTTTTGTTTGTTGAAATTCCATGTAATGCCGACTCTGATTTGAAAGAAAACAATGTTTTTTTAAAAAATTATTTTAAGAAAAGTAAAACTGTAATTTTTAATGAACAGAAAAATTTGAAATGATAAGACAAAATATCCCTAATCGACTCTCTCCCAACGACTCCCCGGGGAGTCCCCGTAAAATAACGAAATCCCTGGGGAGTCCCCAGGGAGTCCCCGCAAAAGAATGAAATCCCTAGGGACTCCCTGGGGATTCTTCTAGGGAGAGTTGACTAGGGATATGTTCGAGTCGGGCATGATCAGTTATTTGGATGATGTTTTAGTTATGTTGAATATAAATTTACTTCACGTTGAATACAAGTTTGTTACAATTTTATAGATAGAATTTCTCAGATATGCGAAGGAGGATTATGAATGGCATCTGGCGTACGATTGTATGATAGTTTGTAATACACATTTTTTCGATAGCTTATTGACATCCCTTTATATTACTGATACAAAATTAGATCGATATTCAACAAGAATTGAATCAATATTGACATGTGGATGATATAAAGTTCACCAAGGTAGTTCTATTTACACTCGGTTTCTATCATGCTGATTAAAAATTAAAAATAAATGAGAAAACCGTTTTGGTTAATCTCTATATATTTTGATCTCAATGTATATTTTTTCTATTAATTATAATCAACCATATATTTTATTTTTTTAATTAAATCTATTCGTACGCTTCAAGGTGGTCTCATTAGATAATATCCTTTAAAAGAGAAAATCATATCCATAATAATGATATTGCCAATTTCATGAAAGTGAAATATAACTGCCACTGCCATTGAAACCCTCGGTAGTCCTAGAGGGTGTGGGTGTTAAACGTAGAGGAGATTCTTACGTTCGTAAGCTAAGTGAGCAATCCAATAATAGATTAAAGGAGCAAAGCGTTATTCCTCTTCAATCTCACAATGAACAAAGATCGAAAACAAAACTTGGAGGTATATGTATATCGACGGAACCGATATTTCATGTTTCAAGCGTACTTGAATTCTTTTCGATTTTTATCTTTTTTAATATCTTTCCTTACAAAAGCAGTGCTCGAATCTGCCCTAATTCATCTTTCAACGTATAATTCATCAAATTAATTATATCTAATGAAAAAAAATCTCTCTTCAATCCTGAACTGTCGAGAATTAACAGGTGTTAATGATTTAATCAACTCGAGAGTACACAAAATAAGTGGAATTAAATGCGTGCGATGAATGGATAGTTCCATGAACATACTCGTAGTAATTCAATATTCAGTGGCTAGATGTATGTTTGTAACTTGTTAATATGCGAACATGAAGAGAGTATTGAGATAGAATCATCCTGAATGTTTGTATGATTCTTTAAAATTTACTTATTAACTACGATGAAATATAAGTAAAGAATAACGGAATATGAATTTGAGCCTCGCAGTATTGCGTAATCCAATACTCAACTATTTCTTTTTACAGCCCTTATCTTATTTTATTTGAACGAAAATAAAAGAGTATCACCGTATATAGATAAGGTTATAACATGACCTTACATCGTAAAGTGGAAGGCGTATTTTATACTAATATTTATTCAAAAAGAGAGGAAGCGTTCTTACCATAATCATTGTAATAATCGTGTAGCTGAAACTTGATGAATGGTTTAATAGTCGATTAGAGAGGAAGATTCGATAGGTAATAAGCTATTTCAAAAATTACAATTTAACTGAGATTTTTATTTTTTCTGTGACAAAATTTCTTAACTATGTAACTACTACATAGTTTATTTTCTATCATTAAATTTAGAGATATGAACATTTGACGTGATTCCATTGACTGATTTTATATTAATGTCATGTCACTAGAGCGTTTGTACCTCGCCTTTCTTTTTAGAGTTGATTCAACAGTCATTATGTCTTTTTTTATTCAAATACAAGAAAAAATCGAGTAACGGCTATTCGTATCTTTCGTGTTTTATAGTTACTCTAGTTGAGTTTCGTACCATATTACATTAACATTTCTGTACATTTCAGTATTTACTTTGCAGAAAATTGTTTTTCATTGACGTTGATGTCCTCTACATGTATTTAAAATGAATAAAAAAAGTTGCATGCGTATTGTCTCATTTTCTGTTTTCTCTCTTGCATTAATCGTTTCAACACGAATAGAACAGAAAGAAAGAAAAAAAAGAGACCAAAAGTTCATGCATCACCTTTTTTTACAATGAATAAAACAGCAACTTGCATTGTCCTGCTTTAATAAATCAACCGGTGTTTTTTTTTTCAGTTTTTAGTCGTTACTAACAACGATAAGCATATCAGCAAGGATCATTAGAAACGGTAAGTACCTGTGATTTCAGAGAGAGAAAAAAGAATTCTTAAATCTAATGTGAATATTTTAGTAAGATTCAAATTCTTGGAAAAATTCACCAATGCAACGATCAATCAATGCAATAGTTGGTATAAGTGATAATAGTGTATCTAGTGCATTAAATAGTCTTCCAGATCTTCATGTTCGTTTTGCAACAAACGACGACGCTGCATATTCTTTAATTCCTGAGAGTGATAAGAAAAAAGTCAAAAAACTCTCACGACTCATTTCAACGACAGCTTATGAATTCGATCGACAATTATCAGTAAGACAAAGAAAAACTGATCAATTTCAAGTAAATTAATTTTACTTTCTATTGAGATTTATTTAACTTTAAGACAATAATCTATTCTAGGCAGCACGAGATGGAAATTTAGTAGGTTTAGAAAATTTATTTAACGAAAATAGATCGAATCCTCGAATATTTTTTAATCGACTCGACCCTGAAACAAAATTAACTGCTTTACATTATGCTGCACGTTTTCATCATTTAGATATCTGTGAATATCTTATTAAAAATTGTGAAGCCGATGTTAATAAAGCCGGTGAAGATGGTATGACACCACTTCATTATATTGCTCGATTTCGAGTTGAAAAAGATAGTCCAGTAAAACTGAAATTTTTTTGTTTTTGAATTCTTTGACTTTATTCAAATATTTTAATTAAGGCTGATTCTTATGGGAACGTAATTCAATATTTGATTCATCATGGCGCTAATATAAATGCATGCGATATTTTTCAGGCAACGTAAGTTATAGAAATAGAAATCGATTTTACTTTAGCAAAATAACAAAACTTCGGAACGAATTTTATAAGACACAATAGATTAATGTTTAGCGTGAATATTGAATTTCAAGAAAGTTGATACCTACGTAAAGCAAAGAAAACTCGGATTATTACATCTGAAATAATAGAAATTCGATCGGCCAATGCTACCAATTGCACAATATTTATATAATTCATAGGATTATTGTCATAGCTTGCACTAAAATTTAATAGTGAATCTAATACTAATCTTACGGAAAGTAACACTGTTTTAAAATATATATCGTTCTATCGTAGACCTCTTCATCATGCTTGCGAACGTAATAATGTTAAATGTGCTGAAATACTCATCTCTAAAAATGCAAATATCGCAGCAGTGGATCGTCAAAATATGCAACCTTTACATGGTGCTTGTTTTTATGGTAGTCTGGATACTGCTCGTTTATTAATTGAACATGGTGCTGATCTATTAGCTACTGATGGCGGTGGTTCAATACCGGTCGCACATGCTTGTCGTAATTCTCATTATAAAATCTTGGATATGATTTTTAATACACTTAATCAACATGAAACAATTAGTGACATAGTCAAAGCTGCTGATAATGACCAGAATACACTGTTACATTTAGCGGTTGCATCTGCTAATGTTGAAATTGTTGATTTACTTCTATCGAAACATGCTGACCCATCAGCTAAACGTGCCGATGGACAAACACCTATACATTTATGTGCAAAAACGGATTCAATTGAAATTCTGGAAAAATTAATTCAAGCTGGAGGTGATATCAATGATGTTGATAATGAAAATGAAACGATTTTACATAAAGCAGCTACACATAATAAAGAAAATATTCTTGCATATGTATTATTAAAACAAGTAAAATAATTTCCTATTTCATCGATACCATTGTATTCAAGATTTTTCTTTTCTCTTTAGAACAATAAAGAGTTTATTCAGAAAAAAAATCTCTCTGGCATCACAGCTGTATTTCTAGCTGTCACATATGGACATGCAGCATGTGTTAAATGTCTATTAGAAGCCGGTGCTGATATGTTTAATAATCGCGATAAACGTGAACGTGGCCCTATCCATTTAGCATCGATGAGAAATCATATTCAAACATTAGAAATACTTTTAAAGCATGCTAGAGAAAATGGTGGCGTAGAAAAAGAAAAATTAGCTATCAATGAAATTGACCGATACAGTCGAACAGCCTTACATGCAGCTGCAGAACTTGGTCATGTTGATATTGTTAGTGAATTATTAAAACGAGAAGCTTCATTAATAATCAAAGATGATGATGAATATACGCCATTAATGTTATGCTGTAAAAAAAATCATTTGGCTGTTTTAAAAATATTTATTGATTATATTAATATACGTTATCAGGCATCGAGAGAAAAACTTAATATACTTGAAGAACGAGATGATCAATCGAATACAGGTTATGTGAAGTAGATTTATATATTTATGATAGAGGAAATGATTTTTTTATGTTTCTCGTGCAATCGTCAGTCAACAGAGAAAGACCACAAAGATTATATTTATTTTTCAAATAATATATGATTGTTTTATAAGACATTGAGTCAATAGTATTCTGCCTTTCAGACACTATTGAAAACAAATTGAAAGTCGTAATATTTATTCTTCTACACATCTCATTGGAACTGACTATCGCATTTCCTAACAACTGTCATGAGAATTTTAAATGTATTGATCCCGGAAGGAAGTCTCGATAAAGTATTAAAAAACTTAAAATGATTCCTGCTTATGTACAGTTAGGTAATATCTGCAGCTGAAGGCTATTTGTGAAAAAAATTCAATATATCGACAAAAGAACATTCATTATAACTTTCGTTTTCACTGTACTCAAACAAAACATGAGATCTAATTTATAGACAACATTTCAAATTGAATATTTCGTGAAAAGTCATTGATCAATTTCAGAAACCTACAAATACAAGTTCTTCAGTATTCGGAATATTGGCGGAAAAGGCAGAAAGGAAACACGCTGAAAAGGAAAACGTCGAAGAAGAAAACGTCGAAAGGAAAAAGTATCATTAATAACAGTGTCGAAGAAAAACTGCCAGAGAAAAAAAGTAGAAGAATTTTGAAAAGGAAAACGTAGAATGAAAAAGATGTCTATAGATAACGAAAATTTTTTCTTTTGATTCGGTAATCAATGCAAAGCAATTATTGAAGGGATTAGCATTACTACTTGGATGACACAAAAAAAGAAAATAGTACTGATAAACTTAGTTTTCTTTTTTTTATTGTATTTTATCATGTGACCGAATAAATTTTTATTTTTCGTTAAAATTATCAAAAGACGCAACTTTCGACATTTACCTTTCGACGTTTTCCTTTTTCTAATTTTTTCTTTCGACGTTTAGAATTTCTGCTTTTTCCCCTTCTATGTTTTCCTTTCTGCCTTTTCCACCAAACCCCAGTATTCCATTAGTATTATCAAGCGTTAATTTTATATCCACGGCATAGTTCTTTCGTTTTTACCGCTCACTCCTTCAAGTTTCGGAAATACGATAGTTTTGAAATTTAAAATAGAAGAATGCAATTTACTATTTTATAATATCGTGTTTTAGCTCTTCATATTGCTGCTGCTGAAGGTCATTCGTCGATTATAAAACTATTATTGGAACAAAATTGTGATTTACAATCACGCAATATGATATCATGTTTACCAATTCATTGTGCTGCTGAACGTGGTCGATATAATAGCGTTCGGACGTTAATCGAAAATCATAGTCCTGTGGATCCAGTTGATAAAAATCAGCAAACGCCTCTTCATCTAGCTGCACGTAAGGGACATTCCGAAGTCGTTAAACTTCTATTAAAAAATGGTGCACAAATCGATAAACGTACATCAAGCGGTGATAATTGTCTCGATTTAGCTATTAGTACAAATCAGTATAATGTTGCTGAAAAATTAGTTAATCATCGCGATTGGGCATTAATATTACGTAATGCTCAATATGATGAACACACGAAACTTTGGGATACACCATTAAGAAAATTAATACGAAAAATGCCTGATATTGCATTAATTGTATTAAATAGATGTTGTACAATAACAACAAAAAGTAAAAACGAACAATTATCATCCAATAATGACAATACAAATGAGAACAAGAAAAATAAAATAAAAAAATCTAAACAAGAATATATTCTTGAATTAGAAGAACAACTCAATAGTAATAATATTGAAACAAGTGGTCTATCAAAAGACGAAACACAAATACATAATTTAGCATTTGTTTATACATACGAATTTTTGGATGATCAATTTCTTCATGAGAAATGGCAAAAAGGAGACAGTGAGTTAGTTATTTAAATCTATTTGTAATTATGAGGGCCCACCGAATTATTTTTCTTGTCGAGTTCATATGTTTGAGGATAGAATAGAATTTTAATCCTACGATTCAAGATAAAAATAACACATCCATTCCAAATGAGAAAAAAGTAGCGACTTATTTCCTCGTCAATAGAAATATTAAAGAAATTTTTTTAGGATTATCTAGCAAAAACATTTCAGTTAACATAACTGTCGACTTCAATAGACGGAGTTCGCCTGTTCGTTTTGAATTTTTTTCTGAGAAAGGTCTAAGATTTTCATCGAATATAACAAGAAAATCTTGAGACATTTTCCTATAGATTACACCGATATGCTCATTCCGACGTTTATAAATGTCACGTAAAGTAGTACTGATATCATCAAATAAATTTACGGCATAGTTCTTCTATGATAAATACTCATAACGATTTTATTAATTATTTCGTGCAAGAATTCTTTCTGAATTTGAATTCAACTTTTACTGTTTTTAGCGGATAGTATTTTCGAACCCGATGGCCGATTATATCCGGGTATGAATAATCGAGAATTAGATTCAAAACGTCTAAACTTAAATCATCCATTCACAATAATGGCAGACAAAAATCGTCAATATCTACTTGATCATCCCGTCGTACATTCCTTACTTGATTATAAATGGAATTTATATGCACGTTATGTTTATTATTTTAACTTTCTATTCTATCTCTTATTTGTTGCATCATTAACCACATACGTATTTATTACATTTGCTCCATATAGTTTCGGTACAACACATGATCAAATGAACGAAATGACGTGTTCGGAATTATGTTCACTTATTAGACAAAATAATACTGAGACTATTGAGAGGTTACAACCGCGCATACGAACGCTGCATATATTCCAATGGTTTGTTATTATTTTAGCATCAATGCAAATAGTTAAAGAATTATTTCAAATTCGAACGGATCGTTTAGAATATATTAATTTAGAAAATGCCGTTGAACTAAGTGCGTTCATTCTTGCGATTTTATTTGCAGTTGATTTTAATGCATGTTCAAGAGAAATTGGTTATCGATGTGTGATACAATGGGAATTAGGCGCACTAGGAGTATTTTTAACATGGTTTGCATTAGTTTTATTTATACAAAAATTTCCAAGTTTCGGAATTTTCGTGGTGATGTTAACAGATATTTTACGAACATTTTCAAGATTTTTTCTTGTGTTCTTTTTGTTTGTGATTGGCTTTGCATTAGCTTTTCATATGTTATTACAGAATCATAATCCATTTCAACATTTTGGAAATAGCCTATTGAAAACATGTGTTATGATGATTGGAGAATTTGAATATGAAGGTTTGAAAAGTTTTCTTTATCTTTTTAACAGCAGAAAAAAATTATTTTTTTCGAATGGTTAGTAAATGATCGTTGTATACGAATCAACTACGTTCCAAAAAAAACCTGTAATCTAAAGCGCAATCAAATAAACTTAACATTAATATCAGTTTTACCTATAAAGACTTTGTTGTTGCTGAAAATAAAATCCTAAGTTATCAGTTCTGACTGAATTTGAGACTTCAAAAACGAATTGTTTTCTCATCGATTCCCTACCCTCAACATGTAGCTTCATTAAGTCATTTTCAGAATGAAGCCACCAATATCAAATATTTGCAGAAGTTGTTTTAAAAAATATGCGCTGATGTTCTGCATGCGGAAATCGCATGTCTCTCACATTTCCCACACGCAAACTAACGTTTCTAAAGTAACATTATGGAAAAGAGAAAATAAAAGCAGGACTGTTTTACTGTTGAATTTCGTTTTTATTTTAGGAATATTTCACGGTGATAATGCAAATTATTTTGGTATAACCTATTTCTTTTTTATTATCTTTATTATTGTTATGTCGATAATAATTATGAACTTATTAGTTGGTTTAGCTGTCGATGATATCAATAGTGTTATGCGTGTAGCAACTCTAAAACGTTTAGAAATGCGTGTGAAATTAACTCTCGATGTCGAACGACAGTTGCCACGACGAAGATTTTTTTCTTCAATTCGCCGTTACCGTATAGTTACTTATCGAGGATCATATTGGCAAAAGTTTTTTAAGAAAATACTTCGCGTGCACATTAAAACACAATTCGATAAAAATTTTGCTCGTTTAGAACAATATGGTTTGATACAAACAGCTGACAATCAAGATCAAAAAGGGTCTTCAGCGACAACAATGAATCTACAGAAAATTGATGATAAAAATAAATCAACAGTAGTGACAACAGTTGGCATCGGCGGAGTTTCATCGGATTGGATTACAAATATTCATGGACAAATAAATACGAAATATAATGAATTTAATAGGCATATGGCAGATTTAAAAACACAAGAAGAAAAAATTAATAATATTTTACAACAATTTCCAATAACAGCAACAAGTAGACATAATTCACATTCAACATTTGCTCCTACAACTTAAAAGACTTTCCTAATGTTCGCTTTGTTTTACATGTTTCTAGTACAACATGTTTTTTTGTTTGGTGTTATGATGGTTTGTTTTTCAATAGAATAATATACGTCGAACTTCTGCTTTCTTTTCTGATTGATGGTTTCGAGAAATTCAGTTTTATGTGTAATAAAAATTCCTGTGACTTGTATGAAAATAAACGTAAACGACTTTGTAAGGACAGTAATTCTTACTAGGGTTGCTTTTACTTGCTTGGATATATTTAGAGATAATGCCAGCAATATCTCTCAACGGCTTCCTTGTTGATTGGTTTCACTTGAATCAACTAACTAACTAACTAATATCAGTAAAATAATGAACAGAAACTATTTGACTGTGTCTATTGATCAAACAAACGTATCCATGTCTTATTCGAATACATTCTGTTTTAATCATACTAGTCCCATTTTACACGCTTGATAATCTATTGAAAGATTAATCGGAATCCATTTTGAAATAGGTCGAACATGAAATTGACCAAAACCAATATAGTTCGCTTCAGAAACAAATAATATAAAGAAATCTATCTTTATGAACTTTTTAATTATCGGTTAAAATTTTTTCATGCACAACTTATCTACATTTTCGAATTCGTTACTGGGCTTCTTTCTTTTTCAGCTGTGCAAAATTTTCCAGGTTAAAACAGCTCTTTAGCAAAACTCAATGAGACCAAATACATTCTCAAGGTTATTCTAGCCGACAGTTCCTTTCTAATCGTCGAAAATAAGATCTCAAAATCGATACGTCATTTCGAGTGGTTCTCTTCACAAATTGTACCATAAAGTGAAACCGTACCAAAATTTACTGCTATTATATTTCATATATTATTTCAAGATCGATCATGGTTTCCTTCACTCATGTCGACAAGTTGTTAAACATAAAAACCTGAAATAGACATTGTACAAAATATTGATATGACGTTTAAGTATGACTCAATATGTTTTCTTTCTCACTTCGTTAGGGGGTATGGTGACAAATCAGCAAAAAACGTTTAAGCGAAAATTTTTGAGCGAATAAAATAGCGAAAATATCCTTTGGCGAAAAGTTTTTCAGCGAAAACATATTTTGAGCGAATTGTGAAGGGTAAAACAGAGAAGTGTAAAATAGAGTAATCTTCAGTTTAACTTAACATTCGCTGCACAGCTATTTGATTGACAAACCCAGTACTTAACATTTTTTTGTGGACTGTTTTAGTCGATAAACATATCCTGAATAAATAAGCATTCGTTTCCCTCGATTTGAAGTGGTAAAAGAGAGTATTCTCGGGTCAAGCATCACTGGTGAGTGAAATGAACTAAATGAATGAACTATGTAACATCAATTACGGACGATTATATATATCGAATAAAAAAGAATATAATAGATTAACACGTTGATAAGAGTGAAACCGACAAATGCGGTCATATATGCAGACACATCCGCATGATGATTCATCGCCAAACAAACAATCAAATCTTATCAAGAAAAAATTTCTCTAATTTCTACATCCGCTCTTTTTGCTAATAAAAAAACTTCGAGTTTTCGCTATTTTACTTTTCGCACTTTTTATTTTCGCTCACTTTTTTTCGCTATTATAATTTTCGCGCTTTGTTTTTCGCTGAAAATACCTTTCGCTATTATGATTTTCGCTCAATCGACACCATATCCGTTAGGGTATTTATTGCATATGTTATTTTGAAATTTTACTACTAATCCTTTACAGAAACTATTTCACTGTAGAAACCATGCATATTAAAGCTCAAAAAAACTTTTTACATCTTCAAAATTCTATTGAAACTATCGTATAATATTCATAGCAACGAAATAATATAGTTGGAACAATATAAAATTCTTATTTCTCAGATTCAATAACGAAATCAATCAATTTGAATTCAATTATTACTTTTTCTTTTTTCAAGAATATATTATCAACGAAATCAGCAATTGCATTCAAATGAGATCTTTTTCCTGTTGGTTAAAAAAATTATTCTCTTCATTAAATTACATATATGTATATTTGATCTTTTTGTTTTCTATCATAGAAAATTTCGTTCCAAAAAAAAAGAAGGATCAATGAAAGAAAAATATAAAGTAAGCAATGAAACAAAACAAACGGCCACAACAATGAAGAAAAAAAAGAGACAAACAGCATGTCATTTCTTTCTTTTTCTATTTAGCATGTTGTCCATTACTGCCATTCATATGTATTCTCATATGTCGATTCAAATTTCCCGATTGTGAAAAACGTAGACGACATAATGAACATTCATAGGGTTTTTCTTGAAAATAAAAATAAATACATATATAGAACTAAACAGCCATCACACAAAGACTTCCTACCTCCACTATGTACTCGCATATGTTTTGTTAATGTTGAACTATCCGAAAAAGCTTTTCGACAATATTTACACTGATATGGTCTTTCACCCGAATGCGTTCTCATATGTGTTGTTACAGATGAACTTTGAGAAAATTTTCTTCCACATACATCACATGAGAAGGGTTTTTCACCTGAATGTGTACGTAAATGTGCTGTTAAATTAGCTGCTTGCGTAAATGCTTTACAACATTTATCACATTTATACGGCTGGAACGAAAGAAATTGAAAATTCTTTTTTTTATTTTTTTCAAATAAAAAAAAAACAGAAAGTTTACTTTTTCGCCAGAATGTGTACGTAAATGAGTCTTGAGTGTACTTGGTCTGGCATAAATTTTTCCACAGATACGACAACGATTAACACGTCCTTCGTTTGTTTTATTAGGTGATGTTTTAGATGCTGATTGAGTCTGTAACCAAGAACTATAGAAAAAAAAATTAAATTTTATTTCGAAATCAAGATAGAGAAATAAACTATATACTTTCGTTTGTCGTTCGATGTTGTTGATGATGAAGAAGATGGTGTTGGGAAAAAATCACATAATTTTGATAAACCCTTATAATCATAATTTCCAGTCGTTGATAGAAGCATTGCTTGTTTCATCGTTGATGGATCAGAACGATTTTTAATCTTCGATGGAATTGAATTATGAGAATGATAGGGTGATGTTACTTGATGTCGATTTGATCCATAGAACGGTTCATAAGGTAAATTTGCTGTTGCAGCCGATGATGACGATGCTGTTGGTATATTGTAACCATTGCTATATTGAATATTATGAGCATTGAAATTCATTGAAACATTAACATTCATTGGTGAAGATAAACCCAATGCAGATTGTAACGCAGCCGTGGTCACTGTTGAATCAGATTTCAATGAAGGTGAATTAGAATTTGTCGGTGGTGGAGAATGACGATGTACCATATAGGGCGAATACATCGATACGGCAGCCGCAGTACTTGGCGGTCCATAGGAATCCATAGGCGTGTCATGATAGTACGATGCGGTTGGATCATAATGATGATGATGATGATGTGGATCAACAAATCGAAACGGTGCATAGTCATGATGTACAACTAAATCATGAGGATGTGGGTGGTGGTGATGATCACGCCAAGATGAGATAAAATTTCTAAACAAAAAAGAAATTACTTTTTTTTTTGAATTAACTGATAAGAAACAATGGATTTATATTAATAGGAAAAAAAGTAAATCTAAATACGTATTTCTTTGAAGTCTTTTTTTTCAACTCACCCATCGAATGGAGAAGGATCGGTGACAGTACGCCATAGTGATGATGAAACATCAACTGTAGCTGAATCCATGTTGGTGCAATTGACTGCTGTCATTATGTTTTAGAGATTCGAAGACTGACTTAAGTTGTCGTTATAATTATTACATGAAAATACGACTAATCACAATTGACGAATAGAATCTCTTCTATTCCAATGTTTGTATTTGGTATATATTTTTTCTTTCTCTCTCTCTAGTGCAAGAAGACCTACTACCTATCCAAATGAGATGCATAATCAAGCAAAGAGAACGAGAGGAAAAAAGAGGGAGAGAGAGAGAGCGCAAAGGGAAAAAACTTTTCTCAATCTTTATTTTTCTTTTTTTCTTTTCCGAATGGCTGATGATGAACCGAACCCATTAGAAGCAAGCAATATTTTTAATGATGTTGTTTGACAACACATAATGAAATGTTATTCTTCATATTTCTTTACATTTTTTTTGTTTGATGTATAAGTTTCTCTCGCAATTGGTTGAGAAGGAAAAAATTCAATAACGAATCAGAATTGAAAATATCATTAAAATAAAATACAAAAAAAAAGAAGAAGTTGATATACATATCTAATCAAGTAGTAATATATGAAATCATATTTCATTTCTCACGTATATATATATTTACTTATTCATCATATCGTCTATCTCTGCTTTTCGAAGTATTTGTTTACTATTCATTGAAAAGGTTTTTATAGAAGATTTTTTTTCTTTAGAAAGTCAATAATATGATCATCATCTATTGAGTAGTTTACATGTTTGCTGATGATGTGAATAAACAATTCGATAGAATAACAACACAGATGATCTATCATTCTGTAATGATCAGTCTACTAGAATAAGTTCAAATTGAGGCGGGATCAGATTGAATTGCACAATAAAACATTCCATAGGTTGATTAGCCGCCGTTTTTCTTTTTCTCTTATTTCTCTACACATCTGTGTCATAATCGTACTAATCCTTTTCTTCTTTAAATGACTAACGGTAGTTTATCTCTGATATGAAGGTTCAAAAGATGCAGCTAAAAAATCAATCTAGCTTAATTAATTGAGAGCAAATGGATATCAATGAATATGTAAATTTATACTTACAATTATTTTAGATTTCGCGTATGTAATAGAAAAAAAAGAAGAAGAAGAATGAGTATGTATGAAAGTCGAAGAGTGAGATTCTTATATTTTCGAAGAGAATAATCGAAAAGGTTTCGATATGTATCGATTTCATACGTGAAAAAAGAAGAAAAAAAGGCAGAGGATCACTTCCTAGGTTTCTTTTCTTTCTTGACTTATCAAAAACTCGTCTTTCTTGTTTTTTGAAAGACAAATTTCGTTTTCTATCTCAAGATTTCTGTTTGATGAAAAACAACCATCAGCTCTTCTTATTCTTTCATTCAAGAATATTTGCTTTTATTTAAAATATATTTCACACACAATAGTAGAGTGACTGTTTGTATTGTTTTTGTTTTTCTTCGTTCATACAAATCTCTAGTGTATTCACTTTGACTTTAAACATAAAATACGATAGAAGACGTGCCGTTTCTTCTTCTTCTTCTACTCTAACTATTGATCATATTGTTTCAAGATGAATTTGCTTACCGATTATTATTTGACTCTCGTAGATAAGATGTTAAATCTGTTTCAAGATATAACGTTGGATGAAATAAACTTGACATACTTTTGTTTTTATTTTTTTATTCAGTCTCTTATGCTTACTTATTTTATGTCGATTGAATGCTGCTGCTGCTGATGATGATGATGATGAAAATTTTCTTGTATAATTTTTCAAATTTCATTGAAACCTTAGTCGAACATACAAATGAAACCTTTGAGATGCATCACGCCCGCATTAAAAAGTTACTGGCCGAATGAGAAGAAAAGACCAATGTATACGTCTACACATACACATATACCTTTATGAAAAGTACTAATAACTTGAATTATCTTTTTATTCTTTTAACCTCTCGTATTTCAATGTCAATCCATTTGTAAAATAAACAACTGTAGACAGTATGCAGTGTGTATACTGAGAAATACAGAAAGGTACTATTGACAATGCAGAAATACAGACAATCTACGAACGTTTAACATTATCGTCAACAGAAGCCAAAAAGAAAATATAGCAGACCAGCAATCATCATCTTAACATAACTACCGTATACAGAGTGTATGTATTGCATATTGAAATAGCATGAAAAAGAAGAAGAAAAAAACGGAAAGAAAAACTTGTATGATGCAGAAGCAGTTATTGAAAGACTTCATCAACTCAATTTGATGTATGCCTTCGAGGGTATAACTACACCTGATTATTACAGAAATGAATTTTGATTACTTTGGCTCGTGCTTACAAATTTATATGCATATGATTGTCTTCTGGAGATGATGAAATGCTCAAATGAATATTAGAAGGTTTCAACACATACACGCACACATATGATATGACTGTAGCTAATAATATTTATTGATTGATATAACCATATCTTAAAAAAAAGCTCTTATACGAATATGCGCATATGTATACTGATGATCCAATTGATTTGTGTTGAGAAAATGCAAGAGCATTGCGAACTTGAAATAGTCAAACCGGTCAAGTTGCTGAGCTTCTTGATATGACAAGAGCAGAAACCTTACAGGATTTTGATTAGTTGAAGTAAATATAGAATTGAATCATTCCAATTCGAAATGTTTTATTTAGAGATGGTATAAACATAGTTCATGGGAGCGCCAGTATCAAACAACGGAAATATTTTTTTCCATGAGACAATCAAAATTAGTTTTATTATGATATTAATTTCAGATTATTTTTATTTGTAAGGTGCACCAAAGTCAAAAATCGAGCAGGAGAAAAATTCGTTTTATTATTACAGGACTAGATAGATCTTGGTGAGTAGATCATGAATATCACCTTTAAAATACTTCTAGGCTTATGTTTTGGTTGAGAAATTATGAAAATACAAACTGCACCTGAACAGCGAATATTTCACTTTTTTCAAGAAAACTAGCAGTTTACCTAGTTTAGCAATGTTCTAGGTTTAGAAAACTATCATCATCGAATTTAGCATGAAAATCTGAATCTATTGATGTAACTTTGGCTAGTAAAAACCATAATNTCAAAACTCAATTTTTGATGCAAAATAAACATCAGATTTGGAATCAGCACGAAAAGCAACATTAATTTTCATCAAAATTCCACTTGACTCTCTCTCAGTCATTTTTTTCTTGATTTTACTCTGTAGTCCCCCACAGGTAAAATTTTGATGAAAATTATTTTTTGATAAAAATTTATGATAGTTAATATTGTTTTTCATGATGATTCCGAATCTGATGTTTATTTTGCATCAAAAATTGAGTTTTGATAGTCGAAATCTCGAAATAAGAGGGCAATTCTGTAACCTGTAGCCGCCTATCTAGTAAAACTCGATTTTCTCAGAGAAGGAACAATATTTTTCAAACTGAATATATAATTTTGTTCGCTTTTGCTTGGCGGTTCGAATCATATAAGAAAGTCCGAGAATTGCTTTCAAAAAAAACGAGTTGATGATTTTTCGAGACATCAATTTGAACATGTCTACATGGAGACCTCGTTGAGCTCCTCAAACAAGAAAATTATGGTTTTTACTGGCCAAAGTTACATCAATAGATTCAGATTTTCATGCTAAATTCGATGATGATAGCTTTCTAAACNAACGAGTTGATGATTTTTCGAGACATCAATTTGAACGTGTCTACATGGAGACCTAGTTGAGCTTCTCAAACAAGAAAATAATGGTTTTTACTGGCCAAAGTTACATCAATAGATTCCGATTTTCATGCTGAATTCGATGATGATAGTTTTCTAAACCTAGAACATTGCTAAACTAGGTAAACTGCTAGTTTTCTTGAAAAAAGTGAAATGTTCGCTGTTTCAGGTGCAGTTTGCATTTTCAGAATTTCTCAACCAAAACATAAGCCTAGAAGTATTTTAAAGGTGATATTCATGATCTACTCACCAATCTCTATCTAGTCATGTAATAATAAAACGAGTTTTTCTCCTACTCGATTTTTGGACCTTGTTGCACCTTATGTAAAATAGGAACCCTTTTCCTTGTGTTTGAACGAGATGTTTTTCTGTCAAAAGAATCATGGAACATTTTTCTTCATAACAGATACTTACAATAATGAAGCGTTTTTCTAACAGATGTCACTAATAACCACTCATAGAATCTTGCTTTTCGTTAATTCGTCGATTAATTCTGCCAATGAAGAATTTCTTAATTGTGAACAAAGAGACAAAAAACTGTGCAGAGCAGAGCGGTGATAATTCTTTCATTTGTATAGACGATAAGTTCTACCATGGTGACCCAAAAGGAGAATGGAGAAGGTAACTTAAATAGAACTTGTTCATTTCTAATAAATATTCGATTTATTGACATCTTCAGGTGAATTTGAAGATAATATCGAAGAAAAAACAATCAATGAAGAATACAAAATCTGGAAGAAGAATGCACCTTTTTTATATAATCTTGTTATAACCCATGCACTCGAATGGCCAAGTTTAACAACACAATGGTTACCTCATGTTCGAACGTATGTTAGATCTATTTGAAAGAACAACATAACAAGCAGTTGCTTTTTTTTCCATTGCAGTGAAGAAGGTCGAGATTTCAGTACACATCGTTTAATACTTGGTACTCACACATCTGATGAACAAAATCATCTTGTTATAGCTAGTATTCAATTACCGAAAGAAGATCTTGAATTAGATAGTTCACATTATGATAATGACAAAGCTGAATTTGGTGGCTTTGGTTTGATTAATGGTCGTATTGAAGTTGATTTGAAAATAAATCATGAAGGTGAAGTTAATCGCGCTCGTTATATGCCTCAAAATCCTCAAATAATTGCAACTAAAACTCCATTATCGGATGTATTAATATTTAATATTGATACACATCCATTAGGAAAAGAACAACCAGGTGACTGTAATCCTGAGCTACGCCTTAAAGGTCATACAAGAGAAGGTTATGGTTTATCATGGAATTCGAATGCTAATGGACATTTACTTAGTGCAGCCGATGACCATACTGTGTGTT